TTGTCCCCAGAAAATGAGGACACTAGTTCTGATGACCTTTGGTTCCCCAAGAAATTCCCGTAATTTGCAGGCATTTGTTTGGCTATGGCACAGGAAGTGAAGGGAAATCTCCACAATTAAGGGATTATTATTCTAAAGCGCCACAAGTTCGCTCAGTGTCAATGGGACACAGATGGCGGAAAAAAATCTTACAGGAGTTATAACCCTCCTATGCACTATCCAAAATGAAAGAAAAAAAAAGTTTTACCCATAGTTCTGTAATATGGTGAAAACAGAACAAAGCTACCACCATGCAAGTGCTATGCTGCTCTTGCACAGAGCCTTAGTTCTAAATCCACACTTCATTGCATGCTGGCAATGTCTCTCTGTTGCTATACATTCCATTTTTTCTTTTTGTTACATAGTACAGAATCTCCCCCTTGCCAGCTGCTCCTCTCATTATTGCTACTGTTGCACAAACTCAGCTTCACAAAGTTACACAGTATTCCTCTCTCCCTAATCACATTGCACATTCCTCTCAGCATATCCTTTCAGGGCTAATTCACAACAGCCACTGTGTTACAATGCTGTGGCTGGTGTGTGATGTGGTCTGATCTTGACACATCGTATTCACTTTTTTTATTTTAATGAATTTTAATTTTAAAAGTCACAGAGACATTTCAATAAGTTCAATTACTGGCAATGCTAAGAGGCAGACAATTGCCTCACACTGCTCCACTATTACATACCTGGTGGAGACTGAAATGCTGTGGGGGCTTCTGTTGCACCTCCTGCCCAACACTCCTGAATGTGGAGAGAGAGAGTGTGAAGGCATGGAATGGTGTGGTAGCTGGCTAATGGTATCAGCGCTACAGGTAGAACAAATGGGAAACTGATGAGCAGGCTCAGTAGGAGCATAACAGAAGCAGAACAGAATCAGCAGACAGAGACAAGTCCAGTAAACAGGCCGAGGTCAGAGTAACCAGATGAGGAAGCTTGAGGCAGAGAGTAGAGACAAAGTCCAGGGAGAAGTTAGGTTATACATGGGCAATCAAATGCAACAGGTCAGCTTTCAGGACCAACGGAACAAGCTGAAGACCATTGAGAAGCTTCTCCCAGTGACATATCCATTTAAATAAATTGCTTGGTGCAAATTGCTATGTGAATGTGCACATGCCCACACCTGTCATGGAGTCTGCATCTCGTGGTTGATAGGGGCCACCAACATCCTTGCACACAGTGGTGTGAACCGGGCACACAGGATACAGCGTTTCGGAGTATGCACTGGCCGTGGAAGGCGGAAGTGCGCTCCTTTTTCAAGCAGGGGGAGGTGGAGATGCAGAGTTGGATATATACGGAGCAGGGGGCCAATTAGGTAATTACCCAATTATACAATGGAGGCAATATATCAATGGAGAAACGTGGGGCCAATTAAGCAATTCTTATATTATCTTATATATGTCTGAAGTCATCACGGCCACGCCGCCGCTGCGTTCCACCAAGCTCAGAGGGAGGACGTGCACGCTGGCTGGCCTCACCGCTGCTGTCCTCCAGCTACCACGCTGTTCCAGCGACAAGCTGACCGCTCCACACCGCAGCAGATGACGTTTTTTCTCACCCTGGAGTCCACCCTACCTATTAACCACGGTTTTTATGCCCATATTTAATCTATTTATGTGAGTGTTCCTACACATATACTTTGAATAAAGAGTCATATTGCACTTAGAGATGCTTCTCTCCTTCTCTCATCCACAGAGTCTGCTACAGCCTATTTTGGAAGCTTTGCCCTCAGTGCTACACAGACCACCATTACTAGACTACTATAGGCTCTCAGCAGTGATTGCGGTGATACACCCCCATTATACCTTCTGACTTACTTGTTGGGTATATATGCTATGTTCTTTTTTTTTTTTATGCAGCCTGTGGACTGAATGAAAAAAAGAGAAGAAATCTCTGCCAAAAATATTAGGTCACACGGTGCTACATGCACCAGTTCGAAGATTGTACAAATGTCTAAATAGTGGCACGCTTGAATAAAAATTGTCCACGTGTACAGGTGAAACTCGAAAAATTGAATATTGTGCAAAAGTGCACTTATTTCAGTAATGCAACTTAAAAGGTGAAACTAATATATCAGGTAGACTCATTACATACAAAGCAACATAGTTCTAGCCGTGATTTGTCATAATTGTGATGATTATGGCTTACAGCTCATGAAAACCCCAAATCCACAATCTCAGAAAATTAGAATATTACATGCAATCAATAAAACAAGGATTGTACATAGAACAATATCGGACCTCTGAAAAGTATAAGCATGCATATGTACTCAGTACTTGGTTTGGGCCCCTTTTGCAGCAATTACTGCCTCAATGCGGCGTGGCATGGAAGCTATCAGCCTGTGGCACTGCTGAGGTGTTATGGAAGACCAGGATGCTTCAATTGCGGCCTTCAGCTCTTCTGCATTGTTCGGTCTCATGTCTCTCATCTTTCTCTTGGCAATGCCCCATAGATTCTCTATGGGGTTCAGGTCAGGCGAGTTTGCCGACCAATCAAGCACAGTAATCCCACGGTCATTGAACCAGGTTTTGGTGCTTTTGGCAGTGTGGGCAGGTGCCAAATCCTGTTGGAAAATTAAGTCAGCATCCCCATAAAGCTCGTCTGCGAAAGGAAGCATGAAGTGCTCCAAAATCTCCTGGTAGACGGTTGCGTTGACCCTGGACTTAATGAAGCACAGTGGACCAACACCAGCAGATGACATGGCTCTCCAAATCAACACAGACTGTGGAAATTTCACACTGGACTTCAAGCATCTTGCAGTGTGTGCCTCTCCATTCTTCCTCCATACGTTGGGTCCTTGGTTTCCAAATAAGATGCAAAAATTGCTCTCATCAGAAAAGAGTACTTTGGACCACTGAGCAACAGACCAGGTCTGTTTTTCCTTAGCCCAGGTAAGACGCTTCTGAAGTTGTTTGTTGTTCAGGAGCGGCTTGACAAGAGGAATAGGACATTTGAAGCCCATGTCCAGGATCCGTCTGTGTGTGGTGGCTCTTGATGCACTGACTCCAGCCTCAGTCCACTCCTTGTGAGTCCCCAACTGTCACGTACCTGATGGGAGACTGAATTGACGAGGTTGGCCTCATTTGTGTCACTAGCCCTGACCCCGCTGAGGTTGGAACAGAGGGAGTCTAGGGACCAGGGAGACAAGAGCGCCAGTGGTTGTTGCTTGCGGCTCTTGCAGATGATGACCTTGGTAGGCAGAGTATCCTCTGATTTGGGCACCATAGAAATAGACCAGGCAGGTTCTGTGGATTGCCAGATGTGCAGCAGAGCAAGGTAGGTAGCCAGGACACAGGATTGGAGCAGAGTCAAGGATAGCCGTGGTCATAAACAGTCGGGCAGCGAAGTACAGAATCAGAAGGAAAAGCCAAAGTCAGGAGCAGAGACGAAGTCAGGAACCAGGAGCAGGAGAGTAATCGGAGTTGGGTCAGGAACAAGCCGGGTCAGCAACAAAGGAATCGTACAGGAGCAAGCAGGGGGAGTTGTAGACCAGTCAGCACTGAACCTGAGCAGAGGCACTCCTTAAATGGGCCGTCTGGCGCCAATCTTTGCCGTGCGTGTGCACATGCGCGTGCGCGATCCCGCATTCCTGCGCGCATGCGCACAACCGGCAATTCTTTTGCGGGAATTTCTATGCGCATGCGCGTTCCCAATCGCAATTCTTCTCGCCGGAAATCCCTTACACCAACACTTTTGAATGGCCTTTTCCTGACAATCCTCTCCAGGCTGCGGTCATCCCTGCTGCTTGTGCACCTTTTTCTTCCACACTTTTCCCTTCCACATAACTTTCAATTAATGTGCTTTGATACAGCACTTTGGGAACATCCAACTTCTTTTGCAATTACCTTTTGAGGCTTTCCCTCCTTATGGAGGGTGTCAATGATGGTTTTCTGCACAACTGTCAGGTCAGCAGTTTTTCCCATGATTGTGATTCCTACTGAACCAGACTGAGAGACCATTTAAAGGCTCAGGAACCCTTTGCAGGTGGTATGGCTTAATTATCTGATTAGAGTGGGACACTTTGAGCCTAGAATATTGTACCTTTTCACAATATTCTAATTTTCTGAGATTGTGAATTTGGGGTTTTCATGAGCTGTAAGTCATAATCATCACAATTATGACAAAACACAGCTTGAACTATCTTGCTTTGCATGTAATGAGTCTATCTCATATATTAGTGTCACCTTTTAAGTTGCATTACTGAAATAAATTAACTTTTGCACGATATCCTAATTTTTTGAGTTTCAGCTGCAAGTGGTACCCCATATGGAAAAAGGATGACACCAAGCCCCAAACTATCTTGCCACTAATCCCCATGTAGTCTGGGCATCCGGGGGGCTCCACATGACTATGTTTTCCCTCGTAAATCCGAAACCTTTAAGTATAGCCTGTTGTCCTCTCACAGGTCTTCTACATCTTGACCCCATATCTGGCACGCTTGCTGGGGAGAAATTGTTTGAATGCAAGGCGGCCAGAAAAATTAATCAGGGACTCATCAACGCAGATTTTTTGCTGGGGAGTATAGACATCTGCAAATTTTTGGTTAAGGTGATTTGCGAGGGGCTGAATTTTGTGGAGCCGGCCAAATTCAGGGTCACCCCAAGGACGGCAGAGTGTGTTGTCGTTGAAATGCATAAAACGCATTATACTCTCATATCTATGCCTAGCCATGGCAGCAGAGAACACGGCCATATGATGAATCGGGTCTGTGGAACAATACAACCGCAATTCATTTTTTTTAGTAATGCCCATGTTGAGGGTTAGGCCCAAAAAAAATATAAATTCAGAAACCGTAATGAGTTTCCATGTGAATGGTCTGGCAAGGTTTGAATTTGGGTTGACAGCAATACATTGTTGTGCATATAAAATGCTTTGATCCACAATCAATGCATACAGATCTTCCGTGAAAAACAGCTCCAAAAATCAAGGGGAGTAGTTAAATTTGCTATTTCCACCAGAATTCTGGGTTGGGCAGTGAATGGGGGAAGTACGGGTGCTACAGAATTTGTGGGCTGCCAATCGGGATTTGCAAGCACATCCGGAAGGATACTACGGGCTCTACGGGCCTGTGTGCGAATTCTTGGTGGTTGCGGGACAATACTGGTGCTTGCCACCGCACCAGCTTATACTGCACTTATGGGACTCGCCACGCCGCAAAGTGATACTACAGTGCTGGTATTATTATTATTATACAGGATTTATATAGCGCCAACAGTTTGCTCAGCGCTGTACAATATAACGGGAGACAATACAGAACAATACAGTTCAATACAAGAGGGTTAGGAGTGCCTGATCCTGGGAGCTTACAATCTAAGAGGTATGTGAAAGACCAGGATGTACTAGACTGCTGGTGCTCGCCCATTCACCAAAAGGTAGCATGGCACTAGTACTGGCTGCATATGAGAGTCATCAAAATTTACTGACAAGTTCTAACAGAGATCAGGCCTGATTCTGCCAACACTGCGGTTTTGTGTGCAGTGTATCAAGTGACAGTTACCTACTGACACTGCACTTGCTGGGGGAGAAGGGGGGTAAGCGTAGGGGCTAAACGCAGGTGCTGGCAGGTGCCGGGGCTGATCCCACTAACGCTGCATTTTTGGGGACGCTATACTAATGTGAACGCTGGTATAGTGCTGATCTGATCAAAGATATTGATCCATTCAGACACTATACTAGCAATGGAGGTTTATTGTGTATGAGTGTCTTCCTGGCAATCGAGGGGTTAAATGTGATGACTGGTGTACTGACAGGCAATCTGATGCTATCTGGGAGGGGCGTGAAAACCACGGGAGCACGAATCACGTATATATATATATATATATATATATATATATATATGTGATTTTGCGTACCTCTGCTGCCCTGTAGCAGTATTTCTGATATAGTGCAGTCAGGAAGCGGTTACATAAGTGGTTTGTGTTACGGCGCTGCGTTATTTTAGCTGACAATTGCGCAATCATGCAACACTGCACCAAAATTAAATTTACATCCTTTTTTCCCCACAAATTAAGCTTTCTTTTGGTGGTATTTGATCGCCTGTGCGTTTTTTATTTTTTGCGCTATTAAAAAAAAAAATCATGTCCAGTAAAAAAATGTAAAAACAAATTTCGTCATTAATTTCAGCCAAAATGTATTCTGTGACATGTCATTGCTAAAAAAAAATCCCAATACGTGTAAATCAATTGGTTTATGTGAAAGTTATAGCCTTTACAAATGGCGGTATAGATACTGGATTTTTTTTTTATACTAATACTAATAGTGGCGATCAGCAACTTATGGTGGCAATCAGCGACTTATGGTGGTGATCAGCGACTTATGGCGGGACTGCGGGACTGTGGCGGACATTCTGACACTGGAGGGGAACTGACTTGGGGTTATTGACATCCCCAGTGACACCAATACAGTGATCAGTGCAAAAAAAAACCACTGACACTGTACTAATGGCACTGGGGAGGAAGGGGTTAACATTGGGAGGCAATGAAAGGGTTAACTGTGTGAGGGGAGTATTTTACTGTGTACCTCTCTGTTACACACTGTTCCGGAAGGCTGTGACCAACGATCCCGGAACAGTGTGCTGAAGCTGACAGGGAGGAAGAGCTCCATTGAAAACAATGCAGCCTTCCTCCCCGTCTGTGTTTGCCGGCAATCGCCGGGCTCCGGCGGGTAATCACCAGCCGGGACCCAGTGATTGACACCTGCAGCCACGATTGGTGCCACGGGTATAGCGGTTACGTGCCTCACGCGCACCCCCTACCCCGGAATGCAGGATCACGTTTATATACATGATCCTGCGCACAGGGGCCCCTTTACTGCAGGCGGTCCCCTAGTGGTTAAATGCTTATCTGTGTTGTTTTTTTTCTTTCCATAAACATTTTTCTTATCACATCCAATGTGCCTTTGAACTCACTAGAAAATTAGACCACTCCAGGAAAAGTCAATTCTCTAGCCCAGTCCTCTCTGGGAGCATCTAATTATTGTCTGTGCCAGCAGTTCCTCTGCACCTCAGCAGGGGGTAGGCGGAGTGTCAGGTGCTATTTCACTCTAGCATTTGTTTTCTGTTATTTTTAGGCAATTTCATATTTATGTATACAGTTTACTACAGAATTTGGTTTGGTTTGCACTGATGTCACTGAAGTTTTCACATATGATGGATTAATATGGTTATTTAAGATTTACTGGGTATTCTTTGCGCTGTTCCTGTGTGTGCTGTGTGGATGGGCTGTGTGTCCCTTTCCTCCAATCAGCAATCCTCAGTAAGCTTGGCAGAATTTAACGTCAGCTACCCGCCCCCTGCTTTCTGGAAGCTGTATACATTCTGCACTTTGAACAGATGTAGAGAAGAGAATACTGCAGAAAAACAGGTACAGATTATGTAGAAAGACTTGTTTTATCTCCGTGTATCACCTGAGGCCAGTCACTTCACTGGGTATATGTAAGGGTTTACAGCCACTTTAATTATAGATAATTTTACATTTACATAGTATTGTACACTGTATACTGTCCTAAGGGGGAGACAGTAAGGTACAGAATACTGTACATGTCTGCCAGCATTAGAGACACTGATAACTCTACAGGCAGATGACAGATGATGCCTCTCCACACTCCATGTTTCTCCAATTTACCTACATGATTCGTGTTATTTTGAATAAGGCTATGCATGCCAGGTCAAGCAGATCACGATAAAATTGTCTTTAAAACAAAGATGAATAAAATGAGAACCCCCTGTAGTTTAAAATGGAGCTGTTTGTCTGTGCAAATGATCAGTAAGTATCCAGTTGATGTGTGCAGTTCTGCATACTGTGACCTCAATGAAAAGTGTTTTATAAAAAGTCATATAAAGATGACATTCTCAGCCAAAAACCATAAGGAATCCCAAATTTTTCTCAGTCCAAATGTGTAGAGCACATATAATATGAATACAAGGTTAGAGTGGAATGTGGAAGACAGGATAATGGATGAAGACCGAAGAGTTGCGAAGTTCACATTATCACATTTTACTTTGTAAATAACCTGTATATACATAAACGACTTCAATATTGGACACTTTCACTCGGTTCGTGCCCAGGCCAATTTTCAGATTCCTTCACTGTCACAAATTGAATGACAATTTACTCAAGCATGCAACATTGTTTTTTATAATTTTTTTTGAGAGATAGATCTTTCTTTTGGTGGTATTTAATCACCACTGGGTTTTTAATTTTTTACTAAATAAACAAAAATGACCATTTTAAACAATTTTTAAAAAAGAAAACATTTTTCTTAGTTTCGGTTATAAAATTTTACAAATGAGTTATTTTTTGTCATAAATGTAGGCCAGATTTTATACTGCTACATTTCTTTGGTAAAAAATAACTCAAACCAGTGTATATTATTTAGTCTGTGTGAAAGAGTCTACAAGCTATTGTACAAATTATTGAAAATTGATCAGTACTGACTGCCTAGCCCATTTTTTGAGGCCCTAAAATGCTAGGACAGTACAAAACCCAAAGAAAACCAAAAACACATACATGTTATCTTGAATCTAACTACTACAGTGGCAGATCAGTGTAGGTGGCAAGCAAAAACATGGTTGATTAACAGGCCAAAATCAGTTCAGGTGGAAGGCAAAAACGTGTCTGATGAATAATGCAGGCGGTAGGCATAGGCATCGTCAAAAAAACAGGCAAGGTCAGTTCAGGTGGTAGGCAAAGGCATTGTCCATGAACAGGCCATGGTTAGTTCAGGTGACAGGCAGAGGCATGGTCAGTTCAGGTGGCAGGCAGAGGCATGAACATGTGGAAAGAAAATGAAAATGATGACACTGCACTGATGTGGATGAGGCTGCAATGATGGGCACAGATGAGGCTACATTGATGTGTGCTGATAAGGCTACACTGATGGGCACTGATGAGGCTGCACTGATGAGCACTGATGAGGCTACACTGATGAGCACTGATGAGGCTACACTGATGGGGAATGATGAGGCTGCACTGATGAGCACTGATGAGGCTGCACTGGTCATCACTGATGGGCACTGATAAACAGGACACTGATGTGGCTGCACTGGTTAGCACTGATGGGCACTGAATCAAGGCACTGATGAGGCTGCAAGGATGATATGGACACTGATCTGTGACAGTGTGTGGCACTGTGAAACACTGCGAAATCACTGTTAACTAAACACTGACTGCTCCCCTCACTGATCCAGCTCTCCTTCTCCCACATGCAGTTTCTGTGTGAGGGAAAGCGAGCCAGTGACTGGCCTGTTTTGTTTACATTTGTAATCGCTTGTGCTTGGACAAAGCAATCACATGGTAAAGGGCTGCTGTGATTGACCCTTTACCTTGATCTATGACACACTGACCCTGATTTACTAAGAATTGAGTCTACCAGCAATTCAATCAATCAAGCCTGTCGGTCTTCAGAAAGGTGTCTAGCCAACTCCTTGAAAAGCGTCTACTTTATAGACTCTTTTCCTGTTAGTAAATCCAGAATCGCGTCTGGCACATTTCTAGATGCAATGCCGTATATGTTCGCTAGATGGCGCACAACCGCAGGCTTTATCCTGTTGGCTTTTTTATGTTTGCATATGAGAATGTAAAATAAAATAATAAATAAAATAAATAATAAATAAATAAAATAATGTAATAATGTAAAATAAAAAGTACACCTATATTTATTTATTTTTTGGGTTGCTGTTTCTCCAAAACAGGGGTGGACTGACAACTCAAGGGGCCCCCGGGCAATAGGAGATCATGGGGCCCCTGTGTCCTTGCCCACGCTCAAAGCACACCCAAAAAAGCCTATAAAAAAGGTACCAGGGGCATTTCATGGGGCCCCCTACTGACCCTGGGCCCTCGGGCAGTGACCGAGTGCTCGAATAGTCAGTCTGCCCCTGCTCCAAAATGATCAGATAACTAATGCATTTCCTAATGAATGTCATACATTCTATTTTCAAATGTCAAACATTTTCACACTTATATCTCAAATAATTGGGAATTTCTAGTTCTAAATTCCCAATATAATGATATATCTTCCTTCTCTTTAATCATGTAACTATTCTATGTTAAAGTAATAGTGCAGCACTATAAATGCATGTGATCAATCATAAACGCATGTAAAAATCAAAAAAGTGCAAATAAGTGCAATAATGATGTAAACCTGGTAAATGGTGCTTAAAAAAAAAAATCATATAATCATTCCTGAATAATGTTAAAGTAATATGTTAAAGTAATAGTGCAGCGCTATAAATGCATGTTAACAATCATAAACGTATGTAAAGTCAACAAAGTGCAAATAAGTGCAATAATGATGTAAACTGGTAAATGGTGCCAAAAAAAAAAGTTGATATAATCATTCCTGAATAATGGAATGTCCTTCGTGTGAGAGTACTAACTCAGTGAGTGCCTATGAATGGCACATATGGTTTATCC